GCCCAGCCTGAGCCCCAGGGTCTCACTTCACGCCCCCACCCGCCCCAGCAGCCTCCTTGTGTCCATGGAGAAACTCTCAATACAGAGCTACAGCGTTTTGTGGAAGATCAGGTTCAGTGTATTTACTCCGGGTGATGAGAATGCGTGTAATGAGAATCCGGCAGTTTGTTCTTGTTACAGATTATCATAGAGAAATAGGTTTTCAAAAAATCTCTCATCTTTCAAGTACGTTTTCCAAGAATGTCTGCAACGTTCTCTGCATTAGAGGCCTATTTCCCCCTTGAAACAAGTCACTGTAAAAACCACAAAAAGACATTGACATCCCGTTGCTCCAAGTTCGCCTGCCAGTTTGCAGCTCGGTGAAGACCGTCTTCTGCTTGCATTGAGGTTAAACTGTGTGATCCATTAGAAAAGTATTCCCCGAAAATTGAGGGTCCTGCAAACACAACAGGATTTATTATGCAGGCCCCTTGCCCCCCTGCCCCCACCACCAGTTACTTCAGTGGTAGCAAAAATAACAATGGTCCCCTGGGAAATGAAGCTCATCGCTATGGTAACTAATGAAGGTTACATCATTCTAAGGCGCAGTTTTGAAAGCCTGGATTTCAACATGGGTAGATGCCCCATCTTATTTTATTTATCTAGTAGCTTAGCAACCTGTGGTACGCTGCTTGCCACCACCTCAGTTTCTTCTCTCGGAAGAGTGACCTATATAGATAGGTCTTTTTTTTTTTTTTTAATTGTAGGCATGTTCTTACTGGGAATGTAGTTCAGTTCTGAGGTATGTTTATAATGACCTTATTTTCTAGACCAAAAATTAGGACACTGGCTGTGCCTGAGACGTCAGGGACGTTTGCTCAGTCTCCTGGGCGGCCCACGCAGAGGTCTCCGCAGGGCCTGTCTGCGCCCCACCCCGTCACTGGTGGAGTCCATCAGGGTCTGTCTTCGGCCCTTCTTCCTGGTATTATTATCTATTAATCACTGTATGATGTCCTTTTTCATTCTATTTCATTTTCATGGAATTGATTGGGGTGACACTGGTTAATACAATTATATAGGTTTTGGGGGTACAGTTCTATAATACATCATCCCTGTATTGTACTGTGTGTTCACCACCCCGAGTCAAGTCTCCTTCCGGCACCTTTTGTCCCCCCTTCACCCTCTCTCACCTCCCCTCTCCCCCTAACTGTGCTCATCACCTTGCTGTTGCCTGTGTCTGTGGGTTTTTTTTTCTCTGCTCAATCCCTTCACCTTTTGCACCCTGCCCCCCAACCTCCCCCCCTTCTCCGACAGCTGTCGGTCCGTTTCCATATAGTGTGTTGGTTTGTTCGGTTCATTGGATTCCACAAAGAAGTGAAATCTTGTGCTTCTCCGATTTCTCTGACTGGCTTATTTCACTTAGCAGGCTTTTTTCTACACTGTGGCCAACGGTACCATTCCCTTGTTTTACAGCTGAGCACTATTCCGGTGTGTGATTGTACCACAGATTGTTGTTGTTGTTGTTTTATTTTACCCACTCCTCTACTAATGGGCACTTAGGTTACTTCCAAATCTTGACTCTTACAGATAGGATGAACACAGGGTTGCAGGCAACATCGGGGTGCATGTGTCCTTTCACAGTAGTGCTCTGCGTGCCTTCGGGTGAATCCCCAGCAGTGGAATGAATCGCTGAGTCATGAGGCAGGTCTACCGGGTGCTTCCCCCAGGGGCTGCGCCGGTCTGCCCGCCGCTCACGGTGCACGAGGGTCCCTTTCCTCCACATCCGCCCCTGGCTCGTCTTTTTGTTTCTCAGTGCCCCCCTCCATGTCCTATGTTCAACTGAATTGTTTGTTGTCTACCCTTTTGATTCCTCCCTGCTCTCTGCTGTATATTTTTTAGTGGTTACCAAGGGGACTTCTAACATCCTAAACCTATAGCAGCCTAGTTGGAATTCAGACCAGCTTCATTTCAATAGCATCCATGGACTTGGCTCCCACTCAGCTCTTTTCCCCTTCTCTTTTGTTGTTATTGCCACAAATCACCCATTTCTTGCCCATTAACATAATGTTCTTCATTTATGCATATGTCTTTTGCTCGTGTAGGGAACAGAAAGAGAAGTTATAAGCAATACACAATATTAGCATTTATATTTACCTATGTATTTGCCTTGATCAATGATCTTCATTTCTTTGTGTGACTTTAAGTATTATCTCACGCCCTTGTTTCAGCCTGAACAGTTCTTTGTATCGTTTCTTGTGGGGAACATCTACCAGCAGCGAACATCAGCTTTTGTTTACCTGGAAATGCCTTACTTTCTTCTTTACTCTGGAGGGTTAGCTTTCAGCCAGAGATAGAATTCTTGGTTGATTTTTTTTCCTCTCAGCGCATTATCATCATCTCACGGCCTCCTGGCCTCCAAGGCTTCTGATGGAATGTGTCACTGCCCTCCAGAGTTTCTGTTGGGCTTTCGGCAATTTGATGGTTATGTGTCTTGGGTGGATCTCTTTGAGTTCCTCCTTCTTGGAGCTCGTTGAGTTCCTCGGCTGTGCAGATTCGTATCTTCAGATCTGAGACGTTTTCGGCCTTTTTTCTTCAAATATTTTTCTGTCCCCTTGTCTTCTGCTTCGCATATTCTATATGTTGTTATACTTAATGGTGTCCCATAGGTTCCCGGGGTTCTATGCATTTGTCTTCATTCTTTCCTCTTTTATCTCTTTGAAGTTCGTGGTTTTTCTGTCTCTCAGATCTGCTGTTGAACCTCTCTGGTGAATTTTTCATTTCATCTGTTGGTACTTTTCAGTTCCAGAATTTCTACTTGATTCCTTTCTGAAGTTGTTCTCTCTCTATTCATATTCCCCACTTGTTCGTAAACCCTTGTCCTGATTTTCCTTAGTTCTTTGTCCTCTTTTCAACTCTTTGAATGTATCTAGACAGTTAAAGTTTTTGTTTAGTAAGGCCAATGTTTGGACTTCTATACTGATGATTTCTGTCACTTTCTTTTTTATTTTTTTTCCTGCGAATGGGCCGTTTCCTGTTGCTTTGTATACTGCATGATTTTTTTGCTGTTGAGAACTGGATATTTTAAATATTGTAATGCAGTACATCTGAAAACCACAATTTCTCTCCTCTACAGAGCATGCTTCAGTTATCTGTTTAGCATTTTCCAAGTCTATTTGCAAAGACTGTATTTCTTGTCATATGTTACCATCGAACCCTCTGTTCTGTCATCTCTGAGAACAACCAGTGATTTCTTTTAATGCCTGGGTTTCGTAAAGGAAAAAACGTCCTCTGTCTCCTTACATTCTTTCGGCAGACCTTGCCTGGTGCCCTTCAGGCGGAGGAGATGGAAACAATGGCCAGTCTCTTTTCCCGTCTTTCAGTGGACTGCCAGGCGAACCAAACCACACTCCCCACACTCTGGAGGGCAGCGTCCCCACCTTGATCCCAACACGCCACTCCCAGAGCGTGGGCCACCGCCCCCACCACTGCCCGCCCAGGGCGCGTGCGTGCGGGCAGCTGCTAGCAGAGCATGCCGTGCACCCACACACACCAGCCTCTTTCCCCATCAGGCATTCCCTCGTCCGTGGCGAGTATCTATCGAACTGGACGGCAGAGGTTTGAAACGGCGATTCTGATGGTTCTTGCCAGCGCAGTAGTTGATCTGGTGCAGGGGCTGGCCCCGGGGGCCTCCCACTCTGCCATGTTTCACGATGTCACTCCCGGAGCTATTCTTGTTGAGGTATTGATCCCCACACGGAAGCGTACTGGCGTATATTGCAGAAAGAACTTGAGTGAGGACTGATATGTATATAATAATGTACGTACTGAGTTACTTCTTAGAGGTTATTCACCACTATGCCTGTCCATCTCACGGGTTAGGATAGTTGACCGAAGACAGAACTTTGCATGTGTGAGTAGTGTCACCATACAGTCACTACCTTGTGGCTATGCGGAGAACATGGCATTTATTTTGTCTGTGATTAGTCTTCTAACTAATACTTGTGGGCGACCTGCTGACTAAGTGGGAAGAAAATCTGGTACTGTTAGTCTAGTGCGACGACGGAAGTAGCCTGTTCAGGCGGAGTCGGGGTCTCAGAGACGAAAAGCCCCGTCTCTGCCTCTCGTCCTGGGGTGCTGTAAGGGTGTGTGGAGGGGGGAGGGTGTGGTGGATGAGGCCTCCTGGCAGTGGGGAGCTGCCCGTTCCCCTGGCCGGCTATCCACCACCTCCTCTGGTCTGCGGGCAGGGTCCCGGCGCCTCCTGGCTGTGCTTGCCTTGCTGGCTTGTGCAGAGGGTGTCATGGCCGGTGTCGCTCACGCAGGGCCAGGACGACTAGCCAGAGTCTGACGGCCGCTCCCTGACCGCGTCCTTCTTCCTTTCCCTCCTCCCCCGCCCCGAGCTCTCCGTGAGCCTCTGGCCTGGAACGTCCCTTGCAGCCTTCGCTGCGGGATTACACCGCTGCGTGGCGGGCCCCGTGGCAGGCCCTGCAGCTCCGGAAACGTGATTCCCAGAGCTCACGGCCGCCTGGCCATGCTTGGAAACACTGTCCCTGGAGCCAGTGGCCCGGCCCGGCCCCTAAGACTGTGGATTCACTATGCAGGGCTTCTCCGGGTGTCAGATGCTGTGTGGGGCTTCATCGTGTCTCCCCATTTCTTTCCGTGGTGAAACGTGACAGCACCCCAGGCCGACGCGTGCTCCCAGCAGACTAGGGGAAGACAACCACATACACCGAGAGGCCAGCCAACAGCACAGAGATTAATAATCTCAGGCACTATCACAGTGATGTGCGTGTATACAGACATATATGAGGATCATATTTAAAGAGTCATATGTAATTCTTAATGTGTACAAGCCTTCAATTTAGGATCTTTAGGAGGCATAGGTGGTATACATGCATATGTGTGTGTATATATATATATATTTTACATATGTAGTTAAGATCATAGTCCATATACTTAGGATATGTTACATATACACACATATATATGTGTATAATTAAGAAGTTTCTTTTCCTCTGTTGCAGGACTGTTCGAGTATGGTTAAAGAGAGACAGTGGACAGTACTGGCCAAGCATATACCACGTGATGCCTTGTAAGTATCCGGATTTCTGTCTTAAAAACCAGACATTGACCCCAACTCCCCTTCCTTCTGGGCTTGCCTTCTCTGTATTTTGTTCTTGTGTAGGGATGCCCGAGGGTCGGGAGCATCATGTAACGGACAGCAGCACAGTACATCACTTTAGGTTTCCTAAGGCTCTCAGTATGGAAAATAGGAAATGTGCTCTGAAATCCGACTGCACACGCCTGGTTAATGGAAGAAAGACTGTGGCAACAGGCCTCTGATGACAGCGGCCTCCCTCTGTTTTCTAGCTTTTTCTTTAACTTTGTTGTGAAGCTGTTCCTCAGGCAATTTAAAATCATGTCCAGTGACCACATTTGCGAAGTCGATTGTTCTTGCGTTGTTATTGTATTATTTATGCAAATTCAAGACAATCAGCATTGAACATTTAGTTCTCAAAAGGGTTTGTTAGGGTGAAAACATTCTAAATATAAGTCAACCTCATTTCCTCAAGATCTTACTTGAGAAATATGTCCTTGCACTGATAAATAGAAAATCTTTCAAATGTGCTGTTAGCAAAAAAAAGATATGACTGACTCTCAGATTCTTACATGGCAGAAGTTCCCCTATAAGGGAAGAAGAGCCAGCTCCCCAAAATAGGAACTTTCTTTTGAGCCTAGTGTTTTATTGGTAAAAGTAGTGAAGTTTGGACATCCTGTCCCATGTTTGTTTTAGTGTAAAATAGTTATTTAAATTCATTATTAATTATATTAGTAAATATTTTCCACCCTGCCTGGTGTGGCTCAGTGGACTGAGTGCCTGCCTGTGAACCAAAGGGTCATCGGTTCGATTCCCAGTCAGGGCACATGCCTGGGGTGCGGGCCAGGTCCCTGGTGGCAGGCGTGCAAGAGGCAACCACACGTTGATGTTTCCCTTCCTCCCTACCTCCCTCTCTCTCTAAAAATAAATAAATAAAATCTTATAAAATAAAATTGTAAATCATTCCCTAAAATAAATAAATAAATATTTTCTTTATTCTCCTTCCTTCAAATCTTAATTGAAATTGACCTTCTAGAAAAATCCCTGAGGTTCGTTGTTTGGGCCCACGTACCCTCTGGCCTGCTACAGTGTGCAGCGATTCCCTTGATACAAATATGCAGCTTGGTTATGCATGCCGTCATGTGTGACCAAAATAAATTTGTGCTGAGCTGTAGATGGGATCAAGTTTATGCCTACAGCAAAAGAAAATTTTAATAATACAAGCAACAATTTGCCTATTTATGAACAGATGAATAATTAAGGATGTAATGGCTTTCTGTGATTTTTCAAATCATCTTGGAGGTTTGATGTGTCTTTAGAATTTCGTGTGATAGCCACAGAGCTAAACCAAGTGCTCAACCTCATGTTCCTGAAGAAGCTGCTTCTTCCCGTTCTGAGCACTTACATTCGCCCCTTAACTGTTGTGCCTCCAGCAGACACCGTTACATGGGGACGGCCCGAGGTGCACTTTCCCTTTAAGCTGTGGTGGTCGTGGGGGCTTGGAGAGGGACAGGGACTGTCTGATGGATTGTGCCCCTGGTTTTTAAGTGGTCTGAACCAGTGTGATCTACGGTCTTGCTTTTTGACCCGGGTTGTCACAACGTCTCACACTGAAAGGGATGGGGAAGGGCTGTCACCCACAAAGTTGAAGCTGACCCCAGAGGCCGGTCACTCCCGGGACGGTGAAGACCGCAGAGGGGCACACGGGGCGGAATGAAGAGGGCTTGGGGATGAGGGGCGAGGGAGCTCCTTGAGGTGCACACTCACGGCATCCTAAGTAGGAGCTGACCCACCCCCTTCCCCTTGCGGACATCCCTAGACATTTACGTGCCAGTCTCTGATGTTTTCTTTACTTGAATTATTTATTTCACTGAGAAGCCTCAAGCTGCATTTTCATCATCTGTGAAGCTGTAGGCAGCAATGACGAAAAGGCGGCCGTAGCTCCCGCACCTGGCACCGATGCCCAATAAACACCTACTTAGTGATGTCTGGCATGTGGTCATGAGTCTCCCTGGAACATCGGCATGATCTTCCTAATGCCTGAACACAGTGTTTGAGAAGAACGATCCCTCATTGTTTGTATACTTTGCCCGTAGTGTCCTAAGGGGAGTAAAAAAGGGATTACCTTGCTATTGAAATGTGGCCTGTGGCCCCCCTGAGAACTTACTAGAAATGCAAATATTGGGGTTCACCCCTGACCTTGCAAATTAGAATTTGCATTTTTAAAAAGATCCCTAGGTAATCTGAATACATCTTATAGTTTGAGGAGATTGTCTTGTGGCAATTTATACATGTTTATAGGAACTCATGTGCAGGGGTGTCCGACCTGCAGCCCAGGACGGCTGTGAATGTGCCCCAACACAAAATCATCAATTTACTTAAAACATGATGAGATTTTTTTTGTGATTACATGCCGCTATGTATTTAATTTGTGGCCCAGAGACGCCAAAAGTTTGGACACCACTGGAGCCTCATGCACACGTAATACTGATTTGTAAATGCACATACGGAAGTACACATTCTGGTCCATCAAACACCTACTGCGCACCTACTGTATACACTGGCCATTAAGTCAGGTGCCAGGATTTGCAGATGAACAAGGTGCGGGTGATTTCTATAATCTTTTATTGTTGGATGGCTCCATTACCGTGGAAAGGTAAAAGAAAAAAAGTCCTGTTTTTCACAACTGGCCAGAAATTCACTTTGCTTGTAGGAACCGTATGCGTTGAGCTGATGAAGTCACTGAACTCTGAGCAAAAATGTAAGCTTTGTTTAACTTGAGAGAGGCAGTATCTTATTGCGAAAGGAAATATGCGACATTTTCAGTCACTTAGAAAACCTGAAATAGCTCTGGATGTCCAAAGGGTTGTTCTGCATTCCTTTCTTTTGAAAGATGTTTTGTTAAGAGGTTAGTCAACATGATCCTTAAATGACAGTCATGTGGTATTAGTCACAAAATGAGGGAAAGGTACAGTAAGTCCAGAGGCTACAGTATGGAGACCACAGGGCAGACAGGGCCGTATTGTGTGTTTGTGGTGACATACGATAAGTGGTATTCCGAACCTTGCAGAAAACAAAACATCTTGTACGTATAATAATGGCTTATTTGTTTGTTTTGTCCGTTAAAACACCTTCTAAATATAGTATTTGTCGTGTTCTGGGCAGGACACTAATGTTGTGTAGCATTGAGAAGACGTTGACGTTTAATGGAGGGAAGGGAACGGAAGGCATTAGATGAGAAAGAGTGAAGAGTGAAGGCGGAGTTTGATGGCAGGCAGTGAGCCTGCAGCTGAGCGAACTTGAAGGAGTGGGAGAGGAAAGAAAGATGAGGAGCAAACACATCCCGATCAAAAACACAACTGCTGCCGCCCTGGCCGAGGGGCTCAGTGGCTTGGAGCATCGTCCCATACACCAGGAGGTGGCAGGCGGGTTTGACCCCTGGTCAGGGCACATGCCTGGGCTGTGGGTTTGATTCCTGGTTGGGATGCATTTGAGAGGCAATTGATTGATGTCTCTCTCTCACATCGATGCTTTTCTCTCTTTCTTCCCCCTCTTCCTCCCTCCCTCCCTTCCTCTGTCTCTAAAATCAATAAACATATTTTCAAGTGAGAATTTTTTTTAAAAGATATTTTTTAAAAGGCCACAACTGCTGCTTTGGGGCGTCCTCAAACCTTGTCTTTCCGAGGAACTCCCGTGTCCCCTGTGACGGGGAGCCGGGAGAAACCAGACTTGCCAGGTGAAGACTGTTTGCCCCTGAGCCAGTCTAATGGGTGCAGGAATTGGGAATCTGAAGTAGGAAATGCTAGTCTCAGCCCAGGCTGGTCCCTGAGGCTGAGAACACGTAAACCCCAGAGCTGTGGGGCTCTCCTGAGCTTAAAGAGAGCTGATCTGCTTAAAAGAAGGTGGGGAGGAGGGAGGGAGAGGACCCTGCACAAGTGATGCCAAAGATCTCCCTCCTCATCCTCCCAACCGCCAGCAACCTGGGTGTGCTTCTTTCTCCGAGTTCAAGGGGTGCTCCGTCTCCTCCAGGATATGCCCATCTGCGCCTGAGTTCACTCTGGTGGGTTCCTGGTTCTCACACCTAAAGGAATGGGACCCAGCCAGCCCCGGCTGGAATCAGCATGCCTCCTGATTCCTCCGTTCCGTTTCGCTGGGATCTCTTATCACAAGGACTGAGCCACATCCCTGGTGATGTCACTGTGGTGTTGAGCTGAAAATAGTCTGAGAGAAGTGAGGGCAAGAAGAACAGAAGGAAGAAATAGTTACTGTTTTTCCTAACTCCTTTGGATAGTCCATTCAGCAGATGTTAACTGTTTCTGCCGCAGTCAGTCCCGTGCAGAGTGCTAAGGGTATGGTGGTCGAGCGTGGCAGACGACCCCCGTCTCCGTGGTGTGTCTGTTCTGGTGGGGAAGGCAGACCGGAAATGAGGGCCACCCAGGGTGCACAGTGTGGGGGGTGTTACCATGTGAGAGGAAGGTACGATGGAAACACGGTCCCAAAGGTTCCCCAAGGAAATTCCACTCTAAACCCCTGCTGCCTGTAGAGAATTTGGGGTGACGGATGACTTGTTTGGAAGCTTTCTATAAGCTGATTTCTGTGGGTGGGTAAGAGCATTTCCTTATCAGATAATCTTTCAAAAACTGATCTCTTCTTGACGTGTCTCACGTACTCCCTGCTCGTTGCCTGTGACAAGATCAACTGCAGGGGTCCCCGCGGGGCCCTGCCTGGGCCTGAAAACTAGATGCTCTGGAGCTGAGGTTTCCCTTGTGTCCAGAAGTGTGCTTACTTGTTTCAGGCTCCTCACAGGTGCCATTTCAGCCGCTGCATTTGCATCCCACTGCAAAGGGGAAAACATACACCCTTGGAGAGCCCAGGCGTCTGTGCTGTCACGGTTGAGACGTTCTACATGCACTTCACCAACCAGGTCGGCAGAGGAGGAGGAGGGGACAGAGAGCTCAAGCAAGGGCCCGGGTGGCGGTTGTTTGAGATTTTTC